GTTCATGTAGCTTATAATATTAAAGCAAGGCACTGAAAATGCCTAGATGAGTTTTCGAACTCCATAAACACAACAGGTTTGGTCCTAGCCTTTTTGTTAGTTTGTAGTTAACTTACACATGCAAGAATCCCCAAACCGGTGAGAATGCCCTCCAACTCATACCACCCTGATTAAGAGGAGCGGGTATTAAGCACACATCATGTAGCTCAAAATACCTTGCTTAACCACACCCCCAAGGGACACAGCAGTGATAAATATTAAGCAATGAACGAAAGTTTGACTAAGTTAAACTACACCAGAGTTGGTAAATTTCGTGCCAGCCACCGCGGTCATACGAAAAACCCAAATTAACAAACCCCGGCGTAAAGCGTGTTTTAAGGACCTTCCCCAAATAAAGTTAAATACTATCTATGCTGTAAAAAGCTATAGCTACAACAAACCCTACAACGAAAGTGACTTTAATATCCTTGAATACACGAAAGCTAGGTCCCAAACTGGGATTAGATACCCCACTATGCCTAGCCATAAACCTAGATAGTTACATAACAAAACTATTCGCCAGAGAACTACTAGCAACAGCTTAAAACTCAAAGGACTTGGCGGTGCTTTATACCCCCTAGAGGAGCCTGTTCTATAATCGATAAACCCCGCTTTACCTCACCACCCTTTGCCAACTCAGCCTGTATACCGCCATCTTCAGCAAACCCTAAAAAGGCGTAGCAGTAAGCTCAATAACCCCCATAAAAACGTTAGGTCAAGGTGTAGCCTATAGGGTGGGAAGCAATGGGCTACATTTTCTTTTAAAAGAACACCACGAAAACCTTTATGAAATCTAAAGGTTAAAGGCGGATTTAGCAGTAAATTAAGAATAGAGAGCTTAATTGAACACGGCAATGAAGCACGCACACACCGCCCGTCACCCTCCTCAATTACTTGAAAATCCTGTGCCCCTAAATAAACACAACACACCTACAAGTACTAGAGGAGATAAGTCGTAACAAGGTAAGTATACTGGAAAGTGTACTTGGAAAACCCAAAGCGTAGCTTAACTAAAGCATCTGACTTACACTCAGAAGATTTCACAACATCGTGACCACTTTGAGCTAACCCTAGCCCAACCACCCTCCCCACATAACTAAACCTTCCACTAAAATAAAACATTCACCACTCTTAAAGTATAGGAGATAGAAATATGACTCAGGAGCTATAGAGATAGTACCGTAAGGGAAAGATGAAAGATTGTTTAATAGCATAAAAAAGCAAAGACTAACCCTTGTACCTTTTGCATAATGAATTAGCCAGAAACCATTTGGCACAAAGAATTTTAGTCAAAAACCCCGAAACTAGACGATCTATCCACGAGCAGTTTTTAGAACGAACCCGTCTATGTGGCAAAATAGTGGGATGACTTATGGATAGTGGTGAAAAGCCAAACGAGCCTAGTGATAGCTGGTTGTCCAGACAAGAATTTCAGTTCAACTTTATGTTTACCAACAGAAACACATAATCTTAATGTAAACATAAAATTTAGTCTAAGAGGGGACAGCCCCTTAGAGCCAGGGTACAGCCTGAGTTGGAGAGTAAATAAAAACACTACCATAGTTGGCCTAAAAGCAGCCACCAATTAAGAAAGCGTTAAAGCTCAACACCTAACCAAAACTAAATCCCATACAAACTTATAAACTCCCAACATACAACACTGGACCAATCTATAACCCTATAGATGCAACACTGCTAATATGAGTAACAAGAAATTAGTTCTCCTTGCACAAGCTTATATCAGATCGTATAAACACTGATAGTTAACACCCATACGTAAACACCCCACACCTAAACTCCTACGTAACCCCTACTGTTGACCCAACACCGGCGTGCATAAAGGAAAGATAAAAGGAGTGGAAGGAACTCAGCAAACCTCAGCCCCGCCTGTTTACCAAAAACATCACCTCTAGCATCACAAGTATTAGAGGCACTGCCTGCCCAGTGACGCAAGTTTAACGGCCGCGGTATCCTGACCGTGCAAAGGTAGCATAATCATTTGTTCCTTAATTAGGGACTTGTATGAACGGCAACACGAGGGCTCAACTGTCTCCCACCCCAAATCAGTGAAATTGACCTCCCCGTGAAGAGGCGGGGATAGCATAATAAGACGAGAAGACCCTATGGAGCTTTAATTAACTAGCTTACACAAATAAACCACTCCTCTACACGAGCCCAACAAATTATGTTTCTAAGCTAGAAATTTTGGTTGGGGTGACCTCGGAGCACAAACCAACCTCCGAATGGATTTTCAGCCACGACTAACCCGTCTAAGCACTTACACCATCAATTGACCCAATTCATTGATCAATGGAACAAGTTACCCTAGGGATAACAGCGCAATCCTATTCTAGAGTCCATATCGACAATAGGGTTTACGACCTCGATGTTGGATCAGGACATCCAAATGGTGCAACCGCTATTAATGGTTCGTTTGTTCAACGATTAAAGTCCTACGTGATCTGAGTTCAGACCGGAGTAATCCAGGTCGGTTTCTATCTATTTATTCACTTCTCCCAGTACGAAAGGACAAGAGAAGTAGAGCCCACTGCACCCCAGCGCTCTAAGTCCAATAGATGAAATCATCTCAATCTAGTAAACTAACTTCACCCTGCCCAAGACCAGGGTTTGTTAAGATGGCAGAGCCCGGTAAATGCATAAAACTTAAAACTTTATACTCAGAGGTTCAACTCCTCTTCTTAACACCATGTTCCTAGCCAACATCATCCTCTTAATCCTCCCAGTACTTTTAGCCATAGCATTCCTTACCCTAGTTGAACGAAAAATCCTAGGCTACATGCAACTCCGCAAAGGCCCCAACGTTGTCGGGCCCTATGGGCTCCTTCAACCCTTCGCTGATGCAGTGAAACTCTTCATCAAAGAACCCCTCCGCCCCCTGACATCTTCCCCATTCCTATTTATTATTGCCCCCACACTAGCCCTTACCCTTGCCCTAACAATATGAATCCCCATTCCCATACCATACCCCCTCATCAACATAAATCTAGGCGTCCTATTTATCTTAGCAACTTCAAGCCTAGCTGTTTACTCTATCCTCTGATCAGGATGAGCTTCAAATTCTAAATATGCACTCATCGGAGCATTACGAGCCGTCGCACAAACAATCTCATACGAGGTCACACTAGCTATCATTCTCCTATCAATTCTTCTCATAAATGGATCTTTCACCCTATCCTCCCTAATCGACACACAAGAATATATGTGAATTCTTATTCCAGCATGACCTCTAGCCATAATATGGTTTATTTCAACCCTAGCAGAAACAAACCGAGCCCCCTTCGACCTCACCGAAGGAGAATCCGAGCTAGTATCAGGCTTCAATGTAGAGTATGCCGCAGGGCCCTTCGCCCTATTCTTCCTAGCCGAATATACCAACATCATCATAATAAATGCCCTCACTGTCACCCTATTCCTAGGAGCATTCCACGACACACTAAACCCCCAACTCTTCACAATCAACTTCGCCGCCAAAACCCTCCTCCTAACAATAGCATTTTTATGAATCCGAGCATCCTACCCACGATTTCGATATGACCAACTCATGCACCTCCTATGAAAAAACTTCCTACCTCTTACCCTAGCCCTATGCATATGACATGTATCAATGCCTGTATCCCTAGCAGGAATCCCCCCATACGCATAGAAAACCATTTTTTAAAAGAGTTACTTTGATAGAGTAAATAATAGTTGGGAATGGCCCTTTATTTCTGGAGCCCTAGGTCTGGAACCTATCCCTGAGAACTCAAAATTCTCCGTGCAATAAACTACACCACACTCTAAGTAAGGTCAGCTAAATAAGCTATCGGGCCCATACCCCGAAAATGTTGGTTCATATCCTTCCCGTACTAATCAATCCAATAGTCCTAGCCATAATCACCTTTACTCTTGCAACAGGCACTGCCATCGCCACATTCAGCTCCCACTGACTATTAATTTGAGTTGGCCTAGAAATAAATATACTCTCCATCATCCCCATCCTCACCTACAAAAGCAACCCACGATCCACAGAAGCCGCAACAAAGTACTTCCTCACTCAAGCCACCGCCTCAATAATCCTAATAATAGCTATCCTTCTCAACCTCATATATTCAGGCCACTGAACCATCCTCAACCCAAACAACCACATCCCACCCTTTCTCCTAACCATCGCATTGACCATAAAATTAGGTGTAGCCCCTTTCCACTTTTGACTGCCGGAGGTCGCCCAAGGAGTAAACCTAAAATCATCCCTCCTTCTGCTTACATGACAAAAAATCGCCCCCCTTTCCATCCTACACCAAATCCACAACTCCCTCAACACCCCCCTTCTAACACTCATAGGACTTCTTTCTATCATAATCGGCGGATGAGGAGGCTTAAACCAAACCCAACTACGAAAAATCCTAGCATACTCATCAATTGCACATATAGGCTGAATAACAACTATCCTAGTGTATAATCCAGACATCATACTCCTTAACCTCATCATCTACATCACCCTAACAATCCCCATATTTATGCTTCTCATCATTAACTCCAGCACAACAGCACTCTCCCTAGCCCAAACATGAAATAAAACACCCCTAATAACTGCAGCCATGCTCACCATTCTAATATCCCTAGGAGGCCTACCCCCACTCACCGGCTTTATGCCCAAGTGAGCCATCATCAATGAACTCACCAAAAACAACAGCATCATCCTCCCAACCCTAATGGCCATACTAGCCCTCCTAAATCTTTACTTCTATATACGACTAGTTTACTCAACATCACTAACAATATTTCCTACCACAAATAACATAAAAATAAAATGACAATTCGAATTCAAAAATCAAGCCTACCTCTTATCACCCCTAATCACAGTATCAACCATATCCCTCCCTCTTCTACCTCTATTTATCTCCTGATACTAGAAGTTTAGGTTAAGCCAGACCAAGAGCCTTCAAAGCTCTAAGCAAGTAGTAAGTACTTAACTTCTGCCTAAGGACTGCAAGAACCACCTTACATCTCCTGGATGCAAACCAGACACTTTCCTTTAAGCTAAGTCCCCCTAGATTGGTGGGATCCAACCCCACGAAAAATTTAGTTAACAGCTAAATACCCTAATCAACTGGCTTCAATCTACTTCTCCCGCCGCGAGAAAAAAAAGGCGGGAGAAGCCCAGGCAGGATTGAAGCTGCTCCTTTGAATTTGCAATTCAACATGATACATCACCTCAGGGCTTGGTAAGAAGGGGACTCAAACCCCCATAGTTAGATTTACAGCCTAATGCCTTATTCGGCCACCTTACCTTACTTATGTTCGTCAACCGCTGACTATTCTCTACAAATCACAAAGACATCGGCACCTTATATATGCTATTCGGTGCCTGAGCCGGAATGGTAGGCACTGCACTCAGCCTTCTTATTCGAGCTGAACTTGGTCAACCTGGAGCCCTCCTGGGGGATGATCAAATCTACAATGTAGTTGTCACAGCTCACGCTTTCGTAATAATTTTCTTCATAGTCATGCCAATTATAATTGGAGGCTTCGGAAACTGACTGGTCCCTTTAATAATTGGCGCCCCCGACATGGCTTTTCCCCGAATAAACAACATAAGCTTTTGACTTCTGCCTCCCTCTTTTCTGCTCCTACTAGCCTCCTCTATAGTTGAAGCAGGCGTAGGAACTGGTTGAACAGTCTACCCTCCCCTAGCAGGTAATTTAGCCCACGCAGGAGCATCCGTAGATCTAGCAATCTTCTCACTCCACTTAGCCGGGGTCTCCTCAATCCTCGGCGCCATTAACTTTATCACAACCATCATCAACATAAAACCCCCAGCCATGTCCCAATACCAAACCCCCCTCTTCGTATGATCAGTCCTTATTACAGCTGTCCTACTCCTACTCTCACTGCCAGTTTTAGCAGCAGGCATTACTATGCTCTTAACAGACCGAAATCTAAACACAACCTTCTTCGACCCTGCAGGAGGCGGAGACCCTATTCTTTACCAACACTTATTCTGATTCTTTGGTCACCCTGAAGTTTACATTCTAATTCTCCCAGGCTTCGGCGTAATCTCCCACATTGTAACTTATTATTCAGGCAAAAAAGAACCCTTTGGTTATATAGGAATAGTATGAGCTATGATATCCATTGGCTTCCTAGGATTTATTGTTTGAGCTCACCATATATTTACTGTAGGAATAGATGTAGACACTCGCGCATATTTTACATCAGCTACAATAATTATTGCAATTCCCACAGGTGTTAAAGTCTTCAGCTGACTAGCCACACTGCACGGAGGCAATATTAAATGGTCCCCTGCCATACTCTGAGCCCTGGGCTTCATTTTCCTATTTACAATTGGGGGCCTAACAGGTATTGTACTAGCCAACTCATCACTAGACATTGTCTTACACGATACATACTATGTAGTAGCCCACTTCCACTACGTACTATCTATAGGAGCCGTATTTGCCATCATAGGCGGATTCGCACATTGATTCCCCCTATTCTCAGGCTACACCCTTGACCCTGTCTGAGCAAAAATTCATTTCGCCGTCATATTCGTCGGAGTAAACCTCACATTCTTCCCACAACACTTCCTAGGCCTATCCGGCATGCCTCGGCGTTACTCTGACTATCCCGATGCTTATACCACATGAAACACAGTGTCCTCAATAGGCTCCTTCATTTCACTAACAGCCGTCATAATCATAGTTTTCATAATCTGAGAGGCATTTGCATCCAAACGAGAAGTCTCAACAGTCGAACTAACAACAACCAACCTAGAATGACTTCACGGCTGCCCTCCTCCTTACCACACATTCGAAGAGCCCGCCTACGTCAAAGCCTAGAAACAAGAAAGGAAGGAATCGAACCCCCATCAATTGGTTTCAAGCCAACCACATAACCTCTATGACTTTCTTAATGAGGTATTAGTAAAACTATTACATAATCTTGTCAAGATTAAATCATGGATTAAACACCCATATACCTCTATGGCGTACCCATTTCAAATAGGCTTCCAAGATGCCTCCTCCCCAATTATAGAAGAACTTATACACTTCCATGACCACACACTAATAATCGTCTTCTTAATCAGCACCCTAGTCCTCTACATCATTGCACTTATACTCTCCACTAAACTCACTCATACCAGCACGATAGACGCTCAAGAAGTAGAGACAATTTGAACAATCCTCCCAGCCATTATCCTCATCCTCATTGCCCTCCCATCCCTACGCATCCTCTATATAATGGACGAAATTAACAACCCGTCTCTGACAGTCAAGACAATAGGACATCAATGATACTGAAGCTACGAGTATACTGATTATGAAGACCTAAGCTTTGACTCCTATATAATCCCAACATCCGATCTAAAACCAGGAGAATTACGACTTCTAGAAGTTGATAACCGAGTAGTTCTCCCAATAGAATTACCTGTGCGCATACTCATCTCATCAGAAGACGTACTACACTCATGAGCCGTCCCATCACTAGGCCTAAAAACAGACGCTATCCCAGGACGACTAAACCAAGCAACACTGATATCAACCCGTCCTGGCCTATTCTACGGCCAATGCTCCGAAATTTGTGGGTCAAACCACAGCTTTATACCAATTGTCCTTGAACTAGTTCCCCTAAAACACTTTGAAGCCTGATCATCATCAATGCTATAAGAACATTATGAAGCTAGTAGCATTAACCTTTTAAGTTAAAGATTGAGAGTTCAAACCTCTCCATAATGATATGCCACAACTAGATACCTCAACATGATTTATCACAATCTTAGCCATACTGATCTCACTATTCGCCCTCATTCAACTTAAATTCTATAAATACACCTTCCCTACAAACCCTAGCCCCGCAGGTTTAAAAACAGAAAAACAAATCACACCTTGAGAATCCAAATGAACGAAAATTTATTCTCCTCTTTCATTACCCCCTCAACCATAGGATTGCCCGTTGTAATTATTATTATTATATTCCCAATTATTCTATTTCCTACCCCCACCCGCCTTATCAACAACCGCCTCATCGCCATTCAACAATGACTAGTCCAACTTATTTTAAAACAAATAATACTAATTCATAACCCTAAGGGTCGAACCTGATCCCTTATACTAATCTCTCTAATTATATTTATTGGCTCAACTAACCTCCTAGGCCTCCTCCCACACTCTTTCACCCCAACTACACAACTATCCATAAATCTCGGCATAGCCGTCCCCCTATGAGCTGGTGCAGTTATTATGGGCTTCCGTTATAAAACCAAAGCCTCACTAGCACATTTTCTACCCCAAGGAACTCCCCTTCCACTCATCCCTATACTCGTAATTATCGAAACGATTAGCCTGTTTATTCAACCCATAGCCCTCGCTGTACGACTCACTGCCAACATCACTGCAGGCCACCTCCTTATGCACCTAATCGGCGGTGCTACACTAGCCCTTACTTCTATTAGCCCCGCAACCGCCACAATTACATTCATCATCCTTCTCCTACTAACCGGCTTAGAATTCGCTGTAGCACTAATCCAAGCCTATGTCTTCACGCTTCTCGTAAGCCTCTACTTACATGACAATACTTAATGACCCACCAAACCCATGCTTACCATATAGTAAACCCCAGCCCATGACCACTCACAGGAGCCCTATCTGCCCTATTAATAACATCTGGCCTAATAATATGATTCCACTTCCACTCTTTTACCCTCCTATCTATTGGTCTCCTAACTAATACCCTCACAATATATCAATGATGACGAGACATTGTACGAGAAGGCACCTTTCAAGGTCACCATACTCCGATTGTACAAAAAGGCCTTCGTTATGGTATAATCCTATTTATCCTCTCAGAAGTTTTCTTCTTTGCAGGCTTTTTCTGAGCTTTCTATCACTCAAGTCTTGCCCCCACCCCAGAACTAGGCGGCTGCTGACCACCCGTAGGCATCACCCCCTTAAACCCACTTGAAGTACCCCTTCTAAACACCTCTGTTCTCCTGGCCTCAGGTGTCTCCATTACCTGAGCACACCATAGCCTTATAGAAGGGAATCGAAAAAACATGCAACAAGCCCTACTAATCACTATCCTCCTCGGGGCCTACTTCACCCTACTTCAGGCCTCCGAGTATTACGAAACATCCTTCACAATCTCAGATGGCGTATATGGCTCAACATTCTTTATAGCAACCGGATTCCACGGCCTCCATGTCATCATCGGCTCCACCTTCCTAACAGTCTGTCTACTTCGACAATTTAATTTCCACTTCACATCCAACCACCACTTCGGATTCGAAGCCGCTGCATGATATTGACACTTTGTTGACGTAGTCTGACTATTCCTGTATGTCTCCATTTACTGATGAGGATCCTACTTCTTTAGTATAATTAGTACAACTGACTTCCAATCAGTCAGCTCTGGTTTTAACCCAGAATGAAGTAATTAACTTAATCCTGGCCCTATTTGTTAATACCCTAATCCCCATGATCTTAATAATCATTGCATTTTGACTACCTCAAACCTATACGTACTCAGAAAAAGCTAGCCCCTATGAATGCGGCTTTGACCCCATAGGATCCGCCCGCTTACCTTTCTCACTAAAATTTTTCCTCGTTGCCATTACATTTCTACTCTTCGACCTAGAAATCGCTCTCCTCCTCCCCCTCCCCTGAGCCTCCCAAACCAACAACCTAACACTAATACTCACCATCGCATTACTCCTCATTTCAATTCTAGCAATGGGCCTAGCATACGAATGACTCCAAAAAGGCCTAGAGTGAGTTGAATATGATAATTAGTTTAAATTAAAACAAATGATTTCGACTCATTAGACTATGGATTATCCATAATTATCAACATGTCTATCACCACTTTAAATATCATAGTAGCCTTTATAATAGCACTACTTGGCATACTCGTCTACCGATCCCACCTCATATCCTCACTTTTATGCCTAGAAGGCATAATATTATCTCTATTCATACTAGCTACAATTATCTCCCTCAACATAAGCTTCACTAATTCCTTCATATTCCCAGTAGTCCTCTTAGTCTTCGCGGCCTGTGAAGCTGCCGTCGGACTAGCCTTACTAGTAATGGTCTCCAATACATACGGCATAGACTATGTCCATAACCTAAATCTCCTACAATGCTAAAACTCATCATCCCTACAATAATGCTCCTACCCCTAACCTGGTGATCAAGTAATAAACTACTATGAATTAACACAACAATCCACAGCCTCCTAATCACTTTAATAGCACTTCTATTAATAAATCAACCCAACGTCCACAACCTAAACTTCTCACTAATATTCTCATCAGACCCACTATCTACGCCCCTTTTAATCTTAACCTTCTGACTTCTACCCCTAATGCTAATTGCTAGCCAAAATCATCTCTCTAAAGAAAGCCTACTACGGAAAAAACTATTCATCTCGATACTAGTGCTACTTCAAATCTTCCTAATTATAACATTTTCAGCCACAGAACTAATTATATTCTACATCTTATTTGAAGCCACTCTTATCCCCACACTCATCATTATCACCCGCTGAGGTAACCAAACAGAACGACTAAACGCAGGGACCTACTTCCTATTCTATACCCTAGTAGGATCCCTTCCCCTTTTAGTAGCTCTACTTTACATTCATAATACCACCGGAACTCTAAACTTCCTAGTTATCCAAACTCTAACCACCCCACTAACCGACTCCTGATCCAACTCCCTTTTATGACTAGCTTGTATAATAGCATTCTTAGTAAAAATACCTTTATATGGCCTACACCTCTGACTCCCCAAAGCCCATGTAGAAGCCCCCATTGCCGGCTCCATAGTCCTAGCAGCAGTCCTACTAAAACTAGGAGGATACGGCATAATACGACTAACCCTTATTTTAAACCCAGTGACAGAGTATATAGCCTACCCCTTCCTCCTTTTGTCATTGTGAGGTATGGTTATAACAAGTTCCATCTGCTTACGACAAACCGACTTAAAATCTCTAATCGCATACTCATCCGTCAGCCACATAGCACTTGTAATTGTCGCAATCCTAATCCAAACCCCATGAAGCTTCATAGGGGCTACAGCCCTGATAATTGCCCATGGCCTTACCTCATCCATACTATTCTGCCTAGCCAATACCAACTACGAACGTATCCACAGCCGAACAATAATCCTAGCCCGAGGACTACAAACCATCCTCCCACTTATAGCCGCATGATGACTACTAGCCAGCCTAGCCAATCTAGCCCTCCCTCCCTCCATTAACCTAATTGGAGAACTATTCGTGATTATCTCATCATTCTCCTGGTCCAACCTCACAATTATCCTAGCAGGAACTAATATACTAATCACCGCCCTTTACACCCTCTACATACTATCCACAACCCAACGCGGAAAACTCACCTACCACATCAACAACATAACCCCCTCCTTTACACGCGAACACACTCTTATATTACTCCACCTGCTCCCTCTAATCCTCCTATCAATCAACCCCAAGATCATCCTTGGTATTACATATTGTAGATATAGTTTAAACAAAACACTAGATTGTGAATTTAGAAATAGAGACTAGCAACCTCTTATCCACCGAGAAAGTATGCAAGAACTGCTAACTCCTGCCACCATACATAACAATATGGCTTCCCCGGCTTTTAAGGATGGTAGTTATCCGTTGGTCTTAGGAGCCAAAAAATTGGTGCAACTCCAAATAAAAGCAATCAACCTATTTTCAACTCTCTCAACCCTAACCATACTCATTCTCACACTACCTATCATTATATCACTCACCAACTTTTTTACCCACCCTAATTTTCCCCTATACGTAAAAAACTCAATCTCACTTGCCTTTACAATCAGCCTAATCCCAACGATCCTATTCCTGTATACAAATCAAGAAATAATACTATCTAACTGACACTGAACAACCATTAACACCATAAAACTCTCTATCAGTCTCAAACTAGACTTTTTCTCCATACTATTTATCCCAGTTGCACTATTCGTCACATGATCAATCATAGAATTCTCCTTATGGTACATACACTCAGACCCCAACATCAACCGATTCTTTAAGTACCTTCTACTATTCCTAATCACCATAATGATTCTAGTAACAGCAAACAACCTGTTCCAACTTTTCATCGGCTGAGAAGGCGTAGGCATTATATCGTTCCTACTAATTGGCTGATGATACGGACGAACAGACGCCAATACCGCAGCCCTACAAGCGATTCTATATAACCGAATTGGTGACATCGGCTTCGTCCTATCAATAGCATGATTTCTCATCCATATAAACACATGAGAACTCCAACAAATCTTTATACTAGAACCGAACAACCTCACACTCCCACTTCTAGGCCTAATTCTAGCTGCCACAGGAAAGTCAGCACAATTTGGCCTCCACCCATGACTACCAGCAGCAATAGAAGGCCCAACCCCTGTATCAGCCCTACTACACTCCAGCACTATGGTGGTAGCAGGAGTCTTCCTACTAATTCGATTTTATCCACTTCTAGAATCGAATAAAGTAGCCCAATCCCTAATCCTATGCTTAGGAGCTACGACTACCCTATTTACAGCCCTATGTGCTCTTACTCAAAATGACATCAAAAAAATCATCGCATTCTCCACCTCAAGCCAACTAGGCCTCATAATAGTAACTATTGGTATTAACCAACCCCACCTCGCTTTTCTCCATATCTGCACCCACGCTTTCTTCAAAGCTATACTATTCATATGCTCCGGATCAATTATCCACAGCCTTAACGACGAACAAGACATTCGAAAAATAGGCGGTTTATTCAAAACCCTCCCATTCACATCATCAGCACTCACAATCGGCAGCCTAGCACTAACAGGTATACCTTTCCTAACAGGATTTTACTCAAAAGACCTAATCATCGAAGCAGCTAATACATCATACACAAACGCCTGAGCCCTACTAATAACTCTCGTTGCCACATCCCTAACAGCCATCTACAGTACTCGCATTATCTTCTTTGCCCTACTTAATCAACCCCGCTTCCCACCCGTAGTTACCATCAATGAAAACAGCCCCCCACTAATTAATTCAATCAAACGTCTTGCCCTAGGTAGCATCTTCGCGGGCTTCCTCATTTCAAACAATATTCAACCCCTCACAATTCCCCCAATAACCATGCCCCTTTACATAAAAATAACAGCCCTCACAGTCACCATCATAGGTTTCCTACTAGCGATAGAACTCAACCAACTAACACTCAACCTCAAACTAACCCCCCGCTCTAAACCATTCTACTTCTCCAACCTACTAGGGTTCTTCCCCTCAACAATACACCGATTAGTTCCATACACTGGTCTATTATTCAGCCTTAATATTGCAACCTCTACCCTAGACATAACATGAACCGAAAAAGCAATCCCAAAAACAACTGCCAACCTTCAAATAAACATATCCTCCCTAGTCTCAACACAAAAAGGACTAATCAAACTCTACTCCCTAACCTTCCTAATCTCACTTCTCTTAGCGGCCTTCATCTTAATCTAAAGCCCCGAGTAATCTCAATCACAACAAAAATACTAACGAACAACATCCACCCCGCCAATAATATCAACCACCCACCACCACCATATAAAGCAGCCACCCCTATAGAATCCTCACGTACATAACCACCCTCCTCACCCCCAAGCACCCCTAAACTCTCGCAACCTTTTAACCCCAACTCTCAACCCATAAACCCGTCTCCCATAAATAAGCCTACCAAAATTAACTCTATTAACAACCCCGCAACCAACGTCCCCAAGACCACCACATTTGATCCCCAAGACTCCGGATACTCCTCTGTAGCCATTGCAGTAGTATAACCAAACACTACTAACATACCCCCTAAATATACTAAAAACATTATTAATCCTAAAAACGAAGCCCCATAACTTAAAATGATGCCACAACCAACACCCCCACTCACAATCAAACATAAACCCCCATAAATCGGAGATGGCTTAGATGAAAATCCCACAAACCCCGCAACAAATACCATACTTAACAACAATACATAGTATGTCATAATTCTTGCATGGACTTTAACCATGACCAGTGACATGAAAAACCACCGTTGTAGTTCAACTACAAGAACCTAATGACCAACATTCGAAAATCCCACCCCCTAATAAAAATCGTAAACCACTCTCTCATTGACCTCCCTGCTCCCTCAAACATCTCCGCATGATGAAATTTTGGTTCACTACTAGGCCTATGCCTAGGTATCCAAATCATCACCGGCCTGTTCCTAGCCATACACTACACATCAGACACACTAACCGCATTCTCATCAGTCACTCATATTTGCCGAGATGTTAATTATGGCTGAATCATCCGATACCTCCATGCCAACGGAGCCTCCATATTTTTTATTTGCCTATTCCTCCACGTAGGCCGAGGTATCTACTACGGCTCCTATACCTACTCAGAAACATGAAATATCGGCATCCTGCTTCTATTTGCAGTTATAGCAACTGCCTTCATGGGCTACGTCCTACCATGAGGACAAATATCTTTTTGAGGGGCCACTGTAATTACCAACCTCCTATCTGCCATCCCCTATATCGGCACAGACCTTGTCCAATGAATCTGAGGTGGGTTCTCAGTAGACAAAGCCACCCTTACCCGATTCTTCGCCTTCCACTTCATCCTCCCCTTTATCATTGCCGCCCTAGTAATAGTACACCTCCTATTCCTCCACGAAACCGGCTCAAACAACCCCACAGGCATTATCTCAGATGCAGACAAAATCCCCTTCCACCCCTACTACACCATCAAAGACGCCCTTGGCTTCCTACTCCTTATTGCCCTTCTCCTCACTCTAGTCTTATTCTCCCCAGACCTTCTAGGAGACCCAGACAACTACACCCCCGCCAACCCACTCAACACCCCGCCACACATTAAACCAGAATGATATTTCCTATTCGCATACGCCATCCTCCGCTCCATCCCCAACAAACTCGGCGGTGTACTAGCCCTAGTCCTATCTATTGCCATCCTAGCCGTCATACCCCTCCTCCACACATCAAAACAACGAAGCATAATGTTCCGCCCAATCAGCCAATGCTTATTCTGGGTTCTCGTGGCCGACCTTCTCACACTCACATGAATCGGAGGACAACCCGTCGAACACCCATTCATCATTATCGGCCAACTAGCATCATTCCTCTACTTCTCCCTCATCCTAATCCTTATACCAACCTGCAGCCTAATTGAAAACAAACTTCTCAAATGAAGGTCCTTGTAGTATAACAATTACCTTGGTCTTGTAAACCAAAAATGAAGCATAAACCCTTCCTAGGACATCAAAGAGGAGACCTAAAGTCCCACCATCAGCACCCAAAGCTGAAATTCTCCTTAAACTACTCTCTGACCTTAAAACAAGCACTCACACACCAACGCACGCACTATGTATATCGTGCATTAATGCACCTCCCCATTAATAATGGTACAGTACATAACTCTCATAATATTACATAGGACATCTATGTTTAATCGTACATTAACCTACTAACCCCATGCATATCCACCAGTACATAAATCCATTAATCGTACATAAGACATTCGTTACTTCACCAACTAAACATCCTCTACAATATGGATATTCATAAACCACATCCTTACCATAATCGTACATAGTACATACCATCCATAATCGTACATAGACCAATTCAGCCAAAATAATGCAACATCCACCCAACCATGACTATCCCCCTCCACCAGTGGTCCCTTAATCTACCATCCTCCGTGAAACCAGCAACCCGCCCAATACGTATCCCTCTTCTCGCTCTGCGCCCATACCACTTGGGGGGTCGCTAGACTGAAACTATAACTGACATCTGGTTCTTACTTCAGGGCCATGAACTCTAAAATCGCCCACTCGTTCCCCTTAAATAAGACATCTCGATGGACTAATGACTAATCAGCCCATGCTCACACATAACTGTGGTGTCATGCATTTGGTATTTTTTTATTTTGGGGTATGCTTGGACTCACCATGGCCGCGGTGGGCCATAAATCAGACCTAAAATAGTAGCCGAGCACCTCGATGTACCTCCTCCATCCTCATAATTATGAGCCGGGACATGAACTCCATGCTAGCAGGACATAAAACAGCTGCCGATCAACAGAACCTGTACTTCACTACGCCTACGTAAAAGTAGACAATAGGATTAATGGTTACAGGACATAAGCCTAATAAATCACCTCAACCCTCAATACTCACCCACGTGTACGCACACGCACTCACCCACGTGTACGCACACGCACTCACCCACGTGTACGCACACGCACTCACCCACGTGTACGCACACGCACTCACCCACGTGTACGCACACGCACTCACCCACGTGTACGCACACGCACCCACCCACGTGTACGCACACGCACCCACCCACGTGTACGCACACGCACTCACCCACGTGTACGCACACGCACTCACCCACGTGTACGCACACGCACTCACCCACGTGTACGCACACCTCCGATGCTATAATTAACCTATCTCAACAAACCCCCCCTTACCCCCCCATTAAAATTACGCTGATAAGTTCCTATTAACTAACAGGAACACCTGAACAAGCTCATCATCTTGCCAAACCCCAAAAACAAGACTCTTGTCCAGCACAGGTAACTCTGGGAACTAATTAATTCAACTACTACTTCTAACAACCAACCCTCAATTTACCCAAGGTCTAGACTAGACCCCTCGCTAGCCCAGCCGCCTATTGACGACAGCACAAAATATTTCAAATTTTTACAAAAAATCAGGCTTAATGAACTAGAAATTTTAATTTTTATTTTATGGTTATAAATTGGTCGCCACAATACTGACATAGCACTTAAAAAATTTTTTCTCTTTTGGCGGGCTAGGCCCGCCTACCCTCAATTTACCCAAGGTCTAGACTAGACCCCTCGCTAGCCCAGCCGCCTATTGACGACAGCACAAAATATTTCAAATTTTTACAAAAAATCACGCTTAATGAACTAGAAATTTTAATTTTTATTTTATGGTTATAAATTGGTCGCCACAATACTGACATAGCACTTAAAAATAAGACCCCAACTCAACTAA